AGCCGCAACGAGCGCAGGGCAGAGGAGGTGAAGGCGAAGGTTTCCTTGGCCATGGGCACCCCGGGAAGGCAGGGGGAAGGCTGGGGGGCAGCAAGCTGCCTCTTGCGCTTGGGTAGGGGGTTATAAATAGGGCTGTGCCCCACACATAAGTGCTGAATCAAGAGCCCAGGCCAGGCCGCCCTATAAATAACTTCCCCGGGCGGTAAACAGAGTCACGTTGGCACGGGGCTGCCAGGGAGTTTAACCTGTTGGGGGGTGCGAGATGAGGACGGTCCCATGGGGGTGAGCTGGGACCCGGGTACCCCCCAACTCCGCAGGGCTTGGGCTGAGCCCCAGGGGAGGAGAGGGAGAGTGGGGACCCCCACAGGGGAAGGATTTGAAGGGCTGCAGCTCAGCAGAGAGGGGACAGAGGGCACCCCTGGCTGCGGTGGCAGAGAGGATGGTGACACACGAGCAGACGGAGTGAGGCAGGGACACAACAGCCCTTTAATGCAGGTTTGGGAGCTGAGCAGCCCGAGGCCGTGTCCACCTGGGACTCCCCACGTCCCCCAGCTCTCGGTTCCAGAACAAACACAACAGACAGATGAAGGAGCAGGCGGGCAGCCAGTGCCATCGCCGGCTTGCTCGGTGGCCTCTCCCGGGCACCATGGCCCGCCCAAGGCCGTGCCAGCAGTAACCGTCTTCCCGGCCCCATGGCCATGCCGCGGCTCCCCGAGGTCAGCAGCAGTCAGCTTGGGCCGGAGCAGAGAAGAAATCCTCAGGCAGCTCTCCCAGGAGCCCGTCCAGGTCATCTGCAGGGGGAGAGGGAGGATGAAACGCACGAGTTTTACTTGTGTATAGAGGAGGAATTGACTCCGTGTACCAGGAACACAGTGGGAGGACGAGATCCCCTTTGGCATCACCAGGGAGGGGAGACACTGCCCAGCCCCAGGACCTGTTTTCTGCAGGACATGGAGCTTTTCCTTCCCACCCAGAGCGGGTCCAACTCACCCATGTCACAGCCATCGGCTCCAACCAGCTCTTCCTGCCCGGGCCCGGAGCTCTGCGAGTTCAAGAAGCCCCCAGTAGACTGCTCTGTGCTGCGGCTGCCCGTCCTCCATCGTCCCCAGTCCCCAGGGGCTGGGACACCCTGGGGGCGCTGCGCGGGGTGGTGCTGGAGTAGCTCAGCCTGAGCAGGGACCTGCAAAACCCAGCAGAGATGAATTGCTGGGGGGCCCACAGGAGGATTTATCTGTCCCTCCCAAGCCTCCTCCTTCCTCCCTGGTTGTTCTCGAGGGTCCCTGCAGTCCAGACCCCCTGGTAATAGCTTTGGGGGGCTATTGGCACAGGGTAGCCAGCATCCCTGTGCCTGCATATCCAGCAGCACCATGCCCTTGCTCACCTCCCGCTGCACTGGCGCTGGCTGCGAGAAGCTGCCCTCAGGATCCGGCGGGAAGATCTTGAGCAGGTTGTTGGGGGTGACGTTGAGGTAGTGGTTGCGGTGGGACGGGGAGAAGACGCCCACCTGTGAGGGCAGAGCAGTGGGTCGGGGCCAGAGCGCCAGCTTCTGCTGGCAGAACCAGCCACAGCGTGGGGAGGAGCCGGCAGAGGCCCTTGGCC